TCTTTCTTCACAAAGCTTGTCCCATTTTCTTCTTTCTTCACAAAGCTTGTCCCATTTTCTTCTTTCTTCACAAAGCTTGTCCCATTTTCTTCTTTCTTCACAAAGCTTGTCCCATTTTCTTCTTTCTTCATAAAGCTTGTCCCATTTTCTTCTTTCTTCATAAAGCTTGTCCCATTTTCTTCTTTCTTCACAAAGCTTGTCCCATTTTCTTCTTTCTTCACAAAGCTTGTCCCATTTTCTTCTTTCTTCACAAAGCTTGTCCCATTTTCTTCTTTCTTCACAAAGCTTGTCCCATTTTCTTCTTTCTTCATAAAGCTTGTCCCATTTTCTTTTTGTCCGGAATGGTTTTCCTGTTTCTTCCTACCGAAGACTCTCCTCTAGGGGCTTCGAGACTGCCTTATCTTATTATTTCAAACTTTATAATCTTTAAGATTGAGCAGAGAAGTATGGATGGTATTGAATTATAGAAACACAGCCACATGCATTAATTTTTGGGTATATTTACATTTCAATTTGTTTGGAAATGTACATATAATATAAAACATATATGTACTCACCTAATATTAGTTGTGTTTTTACGGGGGTTGAGCTTTGCTCTTTCGGCCCGCCTCTCAACTGTCAATGAACTGTTTACTAACTACTTTTTTTTTCCCACACCACACACACACACACACACACCCCAGGAAGCAGCCCGTGACAGCTGACTAACTCCCAGGTACCTATTTACTGCTAGGTAACAGGGGCACTTAGGGTGAAAGAAACTTTGCCCATTTGTTTCTGCCTCGTGCGGGAATCGAACCCGCGCCACAGAATTACGAGTCCTGCGCGTTATCCACCAGGCTACGAGGCCCCGTATATAGTTATATAGTTAAGGGTCATAACTTGAAGGGTATTGACCTGAAACATGCAGCGATGGTCATTAGTATTGTTAGGATAACTTTTATATCCTTCTGTGTTATCCAATGATAACACAGAAGTAGGCATCCAAGTAACACATAATAGTAGGCAGCCATCAGTCTCAGGAGACTGTGGAGTTGGGCTCTGGTTGTCGGTCTGGAGTGGCCTCTCCAGGGCGCAAAGCCTGGGTAGGTTGATACGGGGGAGAAACTGTTACCCATGCAGCAGAGAAGCTGTTACCCATGCAGCAGAGAAGCTGTTACCCATGCAGCAGAGAAGCTGTTACCCATGCAGCAGAGAAGCTGTTACCCATGCAGCAGAGAAGCTGTTACCCATGCAGCAGAGAAGCTGTCACCCATGCAGCAGAGAAGCTGTTACCCATGCAGCAGAGAAGCTGTTACCCATGCAGCAGAGAAGCTGTTACCCATGCAGCAGAGAAGCTGCTACCCATGCAGCAGAGAAGCTGTTACCCATGCAGCAGAGAAGCTGTTACCCATGCAGCAGAGAAGCTGTTACCCATGCAGCAGAGAAGCTGTTACCCATGCAGCAGAGAAGCTGTTACCCATGCAGCAGAGAAGCTGTTACCCATGCAGCAGAGAAGCTGTTACCCATGCAGCAGAGAAGCTGTTACCCATGCAGCAGAGAAGCAGTCACCCATGCAGCAGAGAAGCCGTTACCCATGCAGCAGAGAAGCTGTTACCCAAGCAGCAGAGAAGCTGTCACCCATGCAGCAGAGAAGCTGTTACCCATGCAGCAAAGTTGTTACCCATGCAGCAGAGAAGCTGTTGCCCAAGCAGCAGAGAAGCTGTTACCCATGCAGCAGAGAAGCTGTTACCCATGCAGCAGAGAAGCTGTCACCCATGCAGCAGAGAAGCTGTTACCCATGCAGCAGAGAAGCTGTTACCCATGCAGCAGAGAAGCTGTTACCCATGCAGCAGAGAAGCTGTTACCCATGCAGCAGAGAAGCTGTTACCCATGCAGCAGAGAAGCTGTTACCCATGCAGCAGAGAAGCAGTCACCCATGCAGCAGAGAAGCTGTTACCCATGCAGCAGAGAAGCCGTTACCCATGCAGCAGAGAAGCTGTCACCCATGCAGCAGAGAAGCTGTCACCCATGCAGCAGAGAAGCTGTCACCCATGCAGCAGAGTTGTTACCCATGCAGCAAAGTTGTTACCCATGCAGCAGAGAAGCTGTTACCCATGCAGCAGAGAAGCCGTTACCCATGCAGCAGAGAAGCTGTTACCCAAGCAGCAGAGAAGCTGTCACCCATGCAGCAGAGAAGCTGTTACCCATGCAGCAAAGTTGTTACCCATGCAGCAGAGAAGCTGTTGCCCATGGAGCAGAGTTGTTACCCATGCAGCAGAGAAGCTGTTACCCAAGCAGCAGAGAAGCTGTCACCCATGCAGCAGAGAAGCTGTTACCCATGCAGCAAAGTTGTTACCCATGCAGCAGAGAAGCTGTTACCCATGCAGCAAAGTTGTTACCCATGCAGCAGAGAAGCTGTTACCCATGCAGCAGAGAAGCCGTTACCCATGCAGCAGAGAAGCTGTTACCCAAGCAGCAGAGAAGCTGTCACCCATGCAGCAGAGAAGCTGTTACCCATGCAGCAAAGTTGTTACCCATGCAGCAGAGAAGCTGTTGCCCATGGAGCAGAGTTGTTACCCATGCAGCAGAGAAGCTGTTACCCAAGCAGCAGAGAAGCTGTCACCCATGCAGCAGAGAAGCTGTTACCCATGCAGCAAAGTTGTTACCCATGCAGCAGAGAAGCTGTTACCCATGCAGCAGAGAAGCTGTTACCCAAGCAGCAGAGAAGCTGTTACCCATGCAGCAGAGAAGCTGTCACCCATGCAGCAGAGAAGCAGTCACCCATGCAGCAGAGAAGCTGTTACCCATGCAGCAGAGAAGCTGTTACCCATGCAGCAGAGAAGCTGTTACCCATGCAGCAGAGAAGCTGTTACCCATGCAGCAGAGAAGCTGTTACCCATGCAGCAGAGAAGCTGTTACCCATGCAGCAAAGTTGTTACCCATGCAGCAGAGAAGCTGTTACCCATGCAGCAGAGAAGCTGTTACCCATGCAGCAGAGAAGCTGTTACCCATGCAGCAGAGAAGCTGTTACCCATGCAGCAGAGAAGTTGTTACCCATGCAGCAGAGAAGCTGTTACCCATGCAGCAGAGAAGCTGTTACCCATGCAGCAGAGAAGCTGTTACCCATGCAGCAGAGAAGCTGTTACCCATGCAGCAGAGAAGTTGTTACCCATGCAGCAGAGAAGCTGTTACCCATGCAGCAGAGAAGCTGTTACCCATGCAGCAGAGAAGCTGTTACCCATGCAGCAGAGAAGCTGTTACCCATGCAGCAGAGAAGTTGTTACCCAAGCAGCAGAGAAGTTGTTACCCATGCAGCAGAGAAGTTGTTACCCATGCAGCAGAGAAGTTGTTACCCATGCAGCAGAGAAGCTGTTACCCATGCAGCAGAGAAGCTGTTACCCATGCAGCAGAGAAGCTGTTACCCATGCAGCAGAGAAGTTGTTACCCATGCAGCAGAGAAGTTGTTACCCATGCAGCAGAGAAGCTGTTACCCATGCAGCAGAGAAGCTGTTACCCATGCAGCAGAGAAGCTGTTACCCATGCAGCAGAGAAGCTGTTGCCCAAGCAGCAGAGAAGCCGTTACCCATGCAGCAGAGAAGCTGTTGCCCAAGCAGCAGAGAAGCTGTCACCCATGCAGCAGAGAAGCTGTTACCCATGCAGCAGAGAAGCTGTTACCCATGCAGCAGAGAAGCTGTTGCCCAAGCAGCAGAGAAGCCGTTATCCATGCAGCAGAGAAGCTGTTACCCATGCAGCAGAGAAGCCGTTACCCAAGCAGCAGAGAAGCCGTTACCCAAGCAGCAGAGAAGCCGTTACCCATGCAGCAGAGAAGCCGTTACCCATGCAGCAGAGAAGCCGTTACCCAAGCAGCAGAGAAGCCGTTACCCATGCAGCAGAGAAGCCGTTACCCATGCAGCAGAGAAGCTGTTGCCCATGCAGCAGAGAAGCTGTTGCCCAAGCAGCAGAGAAGCTGTTACCCATGCAGCAGAGAAGCAGTCACCCATGCAGCAGGTTCTCCCTCTCCACGGCGCCAAAAGTCTCCAATGGAAAGGTAAAGATTAATAATTATTAATTACAACAATTATTATGATAATTATTGTAATAAAATAATTAATAATTATTCAATCATATGGCTCTCAACCCTGGTGCCTGAGTGGCTCTCCTGCCTGGTGCCTGAGTGGCTCTCCTGCCTGGTGCCTGAGTGGCTCTCCTGCCTGGTGCCTGAGTGGCTCTCCTGCCTGGTGCCTGAGTGGCTCTCCTGCCTGGTGCCTGAGTGGCTCTCCTGCCTGGTGCCTGAGTGGCTCTCCTGCCTGGTGCCTGAGTGGCTCTCAACCCTGGTGCCTGAGTGGCTCTCAACCCTGGTGCCTGAGTGGCTCTCCTGCCTGGTGCCTGAGTGGCTCTCCTGCCTGGTGCCTGAGTGGCTCTCAACCCTGGTGCCTGAGTGGCTCTCCTCCCTGGTGCCTGAGTGGCTCTCCTGCCTGGTGCCTGAGTGGCTCTCCTGCCTGGTGCCTGAGTGGCTCTCCTGTCTGGTGCCTGAGTGGCTCTCCTGCCTGGTGCCTGAGTGGCTCTCCTGCCTGGTGCCTGAGTGGCTCTCAACCCTGGTGCCTGAGTGGCTCTCCTGCCTGGTGCCTGAGTGGCTCTCAACCCTGGTGCCTGAGTGGCTCTCCTGCCTGGTGCCTGAGTGGCTCTCCTGCCTGGTGCCTGAGTGGCTCTCCTGCCTGGTGCCTGAGTGGCTCTCCTGCCTGGTGCCTGAGTGGCTCTCCTGCCTGGTGCCTGAGTGGCTCTCCTGCCTGGTGCCTGAGTGGCTCTCCTGCCTGGTGCCTGAGTGGCTCTCCTGCCTGGTGCCTGAGTGGCTCTCCTGCCTGGTGCCTGAGTGGCTCTCCTGCCTGGTGCCTGAGTGGCTCTCCTGCCTGGTGCCTGAGTGGCTCTCCTGCCTGGTGCCTGAGTGGCTCTCAACCCTGGTGCCTGAGTGGCTCTCAACCCTGGTGCCTGAGTGGCTCTCCTGCCTGGTGCCTGAGTGGCTCTCCTGCCTGGTGCCTGAGTGGCTCTCCTGCCTGGTGCCTGAGTGGCTCTCCTGCCTGGTGCCTGAGTGGCTCTCCTGCCTGGTGCCTGAGTGGCTCTCAACCCTGGTGCCTGAGTGGCTCTCAACCCTGGTGCCTGAGTGGCTCTCCTGCCTGGTGCCTGAGTGGCTCTCCTGCCTGGTGCCTGAGTGGCTCTCCTGCCTGGTGCCTGAGTGGCTCTCCTGCCTGGTGCCTGAGTGGCTCTCCTGCCTGGTGCCTGAGTGGCTCTCAACCCTGGTGCCTGAGTGGCTCTCAACCCTGGTGCCTGAGTGGCTCTCCTGCCTGGTGCCTGAGTGGCTCTCCTGCCTGGTGCCTGAGTGGCTCTCCTGCCTGGTGCCTGAGTGGCTCTCTTGCCTAGTGCCTGAGTGGCTCTCCTGCCTGGTGCCTGAGTGGCTCTCCTGCCTGGTGCCTGAGTGGCTCTCCTCCCTGGTGCCTGAGTGGCTCTCCTGCCTGGTGCCTGAGTGGCTCTCCTGCCTGGTGCCTGAGTGGCTCTCCTGCCTGGTGCCTGAGTGGCTCTCCTGCCTGGTGCCTGAGTGGCTCTCCTGCCTGGTGCCTGAGTGGCTCTCCTGCCTGGTGCCTGAGTGGCTCTCTTGCCTGGTGCCTGAGTGGCTCTCCTGCCTGGTGCCTGAGTGGCTCTCCTGCCTGGTGCCTGAGTGGCTCTCCTGCCTGGTGCCTGAGTGGCAGTCCTGCCTGGTGCCTGAGTGGCTCTCTTGCCTGGTGCCTGAGTGGCTCTCCTGCCTGGTGCCTGAGTGGCTCTCTTGCCTGGTGCCTGAGTGGCTCTCCTGCCTGGTGCCTGAGTGGCTCTCCTGCCTGGTGCCTGAGTGGCTCTCAACCCTGGTGCCTGAGTGGCTCTCAACCCTGGTGCCTGAGTGGCTCTCCTGCCTGGTGCCTGAGTGGCTCTCTTGCCTGGTGCCTGAGTGGCTCTCCTGCCTGGTGCCTGAGTGGCTCTCCTGCCTGGTGCCTGAGTGGCTCTCAACCCTGGTGCCTGAGTGGCTCTCAACCCTGGTGCCTGAGTGGCTCTCCTGCCTGGTGCCTGAGTGGCTCTCCTGCCTGGTGCCTGAGTGGCTCTCAACCCTGGTGCCTGAGTGGCTCTCCTCCCTGGTGCCTGAGTGGCTCTCCTGCCTGGTGCCTGAGTGGCTCTCCTGCCTGGTGCCTGAGTGGCTCTCCTGTCTGGTGCCTGAGTGGCTCTCAACCCTGGTGCCTGAGTGGCTCTCCTGCCTGGTGCCTGAGTGGCTCTCCTGCCTGGTGCCTGAGTGGCTCTCCTGCCTGGTGCCTGAGTGGCTCTCCTCCCTGGTGCCTGAGTGGCTCTCCTGCCTGGTGCCTGAGTGGCTCTCCTGCCTGGTGCCTGAGTGGCTCTCCTGCCTGGTGCCTGAGTGGCTCTCCTGCCTGGTGCCTGAGTGGCTCTCCTGCCTGGTGCCTGAGTGGCTCTCCTCCCTGGTGCCTGAGTGGCTCTCCTGCCTGGTGCCTGAGTGGCTCTCCTGCCTGGTGCCTGAGTGGCTCTCCTGCCTGGTGCCTGAGTGGCTCTCCTGCCTGGTGCCTGAGTGGCTCTCCTGCCTGGTGCCTGAGTGGCTCTCCTGCCTGGTGCCTGAGTGGCTCTCCTGCCTGGTGCCTGAATTGCTCTCATCCCTGGTGCCTCAGTGGCTCTCATCCCTGGTGCCTGAGTGGCTCTCCTGCCTGGTGCCTGAGTGGCTCTCCTGCCTGGTGCCTGAGTGGCTCTCCTGCCTGGTGCCTGAGTGGCTCTCCTGCCTGGTGCCTGAGTGGCTCTCCTGCCTGGTGCCTGAGTGGCTCTCAACCCTGGTGTCTGAGTGGCTCTCATCCCTGGTGCCTGAGTGGCTCTCATCCCTGGTGCCTGAGTGGCTCTCAACCCTGGTGCCTGAGTGGTTCTCAACCCTGGTGCCTGAGTGGCTCTCCTGCCTGGTGCCTGAGTGGCTCTCAACCCTGGAGCCTGAGTGGCTCTCAACCCTGGTGCCTGAGTGGCTCTCCTGCCTGGTGCCTGAGTGGCTCTCCTGCCTGGTGCATGAGTGGCTCTCCTGCCTGGTGCCTGAGTGGCTCTCCTGCCTGGTGCCTGAGTGGCTCTCCTGCCTGGTGCCTGAGTGGCTCTCCTGCCTGGTGCCTGAGTGGCTCTCCTGCCTGGTGCCTGAGTGGCTCTCATGTCTGGTGCCTGTGTGGCTCTCCTGCCTGGTGCCTGAGTGGCTCTCCTGCCTGGTGCCTGAGTGGCTCTCAACCCTAGTGCCTGAGTGGCTCTCCTGCCTGGTGCCTGAGTGGCCCTCCTGCCTGGTGCCTGAGTGGCTCTCCTGCCTGGTGCCTGAGTGGCTCTCCTGCCTGGTGCCTGAGTGGCTCTCAACCCTGGTGCCTGAGTGGCTCTCCTGCCTGGTGCCTGAGTGGCTCTCAACCCTGGTGCCTGAGTGGCTCTCCTGCCTGGTGCCTGAGTGGCAGTCCTGCCTGGTGCCTGAGTGGCAGTCCTGCCTGGTGCCTGAGTGTCAGTCCTGCCTGGTGCCTGAGTGGCAGTCCTGCCTGGTGCCTGAGTGGCAGTCCTGCCTGGTGCCTGAGTGGCTCTCCTGCCTGGTGCCTGAGTGTCAGTCCTGCCTGGTGCCTGAGTGGCAGTCCTGCCTGGTGCCTGAGTGGCAGTCCTGCCTGGTGCCCGAGTGGCTCTCCTGCCTGGTGCCCGAGTGGCTCTCCTGCCTGGTGCCCGAGTGGCTCTCCTGCCTGGTGCCCGAGTGGCTCTCCTGCCAGGTGCCTGAGTGGCAGTCCTGCCTGGTGCCCGAGTGGCTCTCCTGCCTGGTGCCCGAGTGGCTCTCCTGCCTGGTGCCTGAGTGGCAGTCCTGCCTGGTGCCTGAGTGGCCCTCCTGCCTGGTGCCTGAGTGGCTCTCCTGCCTGGTGCCTGAGTGGCAGTCCTGCCTGGTGTCTGAGTGGCCCTCCTGCCTGGTGCCTGAGTGGCAGTCCTGCCTGGTGTCTGAGTGGCCCTCCTGCCTGGTGCCTGAGTGGCAGTCCTGCCTGGTGCCTGAGTGGCCCTCCTGCCTGATGCCTGAGTGGCAGTCCTGCCTGGTGCCTGAGTGGCAGTCCTGCCTGGTGCCTGAGTGGCAGTCCTGCCTGGTGCCTGAGTGGCAGTCCTGCCTGGTGCCTGAGTGGCAGTCCTGCCTGGTGCCTGAGTGGCCCTCCTACCTGGTGCCTGAGTGGCAGTCCTGCCTGGTGTCTGAGTGGCCCTCCTGCCTGGTGCCTGAGTGGCAGTCCTGCCTGGTGCCTGAGTGGCAGTCCTGCCTGGTGCCCGAGTGGCTCTCTTGCCTGGTGCCTGAGTGGCAGTCCTGCCTGGTGTCTGAGTGGCAGTCCTGCCTGGTGCCTGAGTGGCAGTCCTGCCTGGTGCCTGAGTGGCAGTCCTGCTTGGTGCCTGAGTGGCAGTCCTGCCTGGTGCCCGAGTGGCTCTCCTGCCCGGTGCCTGAGTGGCAGTCCTGCCTGGTGTCTGAGTGGCAGTCCTGCCTGGTGCCTGAGTGACAGTCCTGCCTGGTGCCTGAGTGGCAGTCCTGCCTGGTGCCTGAGTTGTAGTCCTGCCTGGTGCCTGAGTGGCAGTCCTGCCTGGTGTCTGAGTGGCTCTCCTGCCTGGTGCCTGAGTGGCTCTCCTGCCTGGTGCCTGAGTGGCAGTCCTGCCTGGTGCCTGAGTGGCAGTCCTGCCTGGTGCCTGAGTGGCTCTCCTGCCTGGTGCTTGAGTGGCTCTCCTGCCTGGTGCCTGAGTGGCTCTCCTGCCTGGTGCCTGAGTTGCTCTCCTGCCTGGTGCCTGAGTGGCTCTCCTGCCTGGTGCCTGAGTGGCCCTCCTGCCTGGTGCCTGAGTGGCCCTCCTGCCTGGTGCCTGAGTGGCAGTCCTGCCTGGTGCCTGAGTGGCAGTCCTGCCTGGTGCCTGAGTGGCAGTCCTGCCTGGTGCCTGAGTGGCAGTCCTGCCTGGTGCCTGAGTGGCAGTCCTGCCTGGTGCCTGAGTGGCAGTCCTGCCTGGTGCCTGAGTGGTAGTCCTGCCTGGTGCCTGAGTGGCAGTCCTGCCTGGTGTCTGAGTGGCTCTCCTGCCTGGTGCCTGAGTGGCTCTCCTGCCTGGTGCCTGAGTGGCAGTCCTGCCTGGTGCCTGAGTGGCAGTCCTGCCTGGTGCCTGAGTGGCTCTCCTGCCTGGTGCCTGAGTGGCTCTCCTGCCTGGTGCCTGAGTGGCTCTCCTGCCTGGTGCCTGAGTGGCTCTCAACCCTGGAGCCTGAGTGGCTCTCAACCCTGGTGCCTGAGTGGCTCTCCTGCCTGGTGCCTGAGTGGCTCTCCTGCCTGGTGCCTGAGTGGCTCTCCTGCCTGGTGCCTGAGTGGCAGTCCTGCCTGGTGCCTGAGTGGCTCTCCTGCCTGGTGCCTGAGTGGCAGTCCTGCCTGGTGCCTGAGTGGCTCTCCTGCCTGGTGCCTGAGTGGCTCTCCTGCCTGGTGCCTGAGTGGCTCTCCACCAGGTCGTGAATATCTACATTTACTCAATATTTTCGTAAAATTCCATTTTTATCTATCAGCACCAGCTGGAGGGAGGCTGAGACTCCCAGCACCAGCTGGAGGGATGCTGGGACTCCCAGCACCAGCTGGAGTGATGCTGGGACTCCCAGCACCAGCTGGAGGGATGCTGGGACTCCCAGCACCAGCTGGAGGGATGCTGGGACTCCCAGCACCAGCTGGAGGGAGGCTGAGACTCCCAGCACCAGCTGGAGGGATGCTGGGACTCCCAGCACCAGCTGGAGGGATGCTGGGACTCCCAGCACCAGCTGGAGGGATGCTGGGACTCCCAGCACCAGCTGGAGGGAGGCTGGGACTCCCAGCACCAGCTGGAGGGAGGCTGAGACTCCCAGCACCAGCTGGAGGGATGCTGAGACTCCCAGCACCAGCTGGAGGGATGCTGAGACTCCCAGCACCAGCTGGATTGATGCTGGGACTCCCAGCACCAGCTGGAGGGATGCTGGGACTCCCAGCACCAGCTGGAGGGAGGCTGAGACTCCCAGCACCAGCTGGAGGGATGCTGGGACTCCCAGCACCAGCTGGAAGGATGCTGAAACTCCCAGCACCAGCTGGAGATATGCTGCGACTCCCAGCACCAGCTGGAGGGATGCTGGGACTCCCAGCACCAGCTGGAGGGATGCTGGGACTCCCAGCACCAGCTGGAGGGATGCTGGGACTCCCAGCACCAGCTGGAGGGAGGCTGAGACTCCCAGCACCAGCTGGAGGGAGGCTGAGACTCCCAGCACCAGCTGGAGGGATGCTGAGACTCCCAGCACCAGCTGGAGGGAGGCTGAGACTCCCAGCACCAGCTGGAGGGAGGCTGAGACTCCCAGCACCAGCTGGAGGGAGGCTGAGACTCCCAGCACCAGCTGGAGGGAGGCTGAGACTCCCAGCACCAGCTGGAGGGAGGCTGAGACTCCCAGCACCAGCTGGAGGGATGCTGTGACTCCCAGCACCAGCTGGAGGGAGGCTGAGACTCCCAGCACCAGCTGGAGGGAGGCTGAGACTCCCAGCACCAGCTGGAGGGAGGCTGAGACTCCCAGCACCAGCTGGAGGGAGGCTGGGACTCCCAGCACCAGCTGGAGGGAGGCTGAGACTCCCAGCACCAGCTGGAGGGAGGCTGGGACTCCCAGCACCAGCTGGAGGGAGGCTGGGACTCCCAGCACCAGCTGGAGGGAGGCCGAGACTCCCAGCACCAGCTGGAGGGAGGCTGGGACTCCCAGCACCAGCTGGAGGGAGGCTGGGACTCCCAGCACCAGCTGGAGGGAGGCTGAGACTCCCAGCACCAGCTGGAGGGATGCTGGGACTCCCAGCACCAGCTGGAGGGAGGCTGGGACTCCCAGCACCAGCTGGAGGGAGGCTGAGACTCCCAGCACCAGCTGGAGGGAGGCTGGGACTCCCAGCACCAGCTGGAGGGAGGCCGAGACTCCCAGCACCAGCTGGAGGGAGGCTGGGACTCCCAGCACCAGCTGGAGGGAGGCTGGGACTCCCAGCACCAGCTGGAGGGAGGCTGAGACTCCCAGCACCAGCTGGAGGGATGCTGGGACTCCCAGCACCAGCTGGAGGGAGGCTGGGACTCCCAGCACCAGCTGGAGGGAGGCTGGGACTCCCAGCACCAGCTGGAGGGAGGCTGAGACTCCCAGCACCAGCTGGAGGGAGGCTGAGACTCCCAGCACCAGCTGGAGGGAGGCTGAGACTCCCAGCACCAGCTGGAGGGAGGCTGAGACTCCCAGCACCAGCTGGAGGGAGGCTGAGACTCCCAGCACCAGCTGGAGGGAGGCTGAGACTCCCAGCACCAGCTGGAGGGTGCTGGGGCTCCCAGCACCAGCTGGAGGGAGGCTGGGACTCCCAGCACCAGCTGGAGGGAGGCTGGGACTCCCAGCACCAGCTGGAGGGAGGCTGAGACTCCCAGCACCAGCTGGAGGGAGGCTGAGACTCCCAGCACCAGCTGGAGGGAGGCTGAGACTCCCAGCACCAGCTGGAGGGAGGCTGGGACTCCCACCACCAGCTGGAGGGATGCTGGGATTGCGTGTCTGTCGTGACAGCTCACTTTCCAGCTTCTTCCTCCTTATAACTGACACAATTTAAAGTTTTGCAATTTGTTGTTGAATGATGTGTGGTGAGGGGGAGGGGGAGGCACCTGCTGGCACCTGCTGGCACCTACTGGCACCTGCTGGCACCTGCTGGCACCTGCTGGCACCTGCTGGCCCCTGCTGGCACCTACTGGCACCTGCTGGCACCTACTGGCACCTGCTGGCACCTACTGGCTCCTGCTGGCACCTACTGGCACCTGCTGGCACCTGCTGGCACCTGCTGGCACCTACTGGCACTTACTGGCACCTGCTGGCACCTGCTGGCATTTACTGGCACCTACTGGCTCCTGCTGGCACCTACTGGCACCTACTGGCACCTACTGGCACCTGCTGGCACCTGCTGGCACCTACTGGCACCTGCTGGCACCTACTGGCACCTGCTGGCACCTACTGGCTCCTGCTGGCACCTACTGGCACCTGCTGGCACCTACTGGCACCTACTGGCACCTGCTGGCACCTACTGGCACCTACTGGCACCTACTGGCTCCTGCTGGCACCTACTGGCACCTGCTGGCACCTGCTGGCACCTACTGGCACCTGCTGGCACCTACTGGCACCTACTGGCACCTACTGGCACCTACTGGCACCTGCTGGCACCTATTGGCACCTGCTGGCACCTGCTGGCACCTTCTGGCACCTACTGGCACCTGCTGGCACCTACTGGCACCTGCTGGCACCTACTGGCACCTACTGGCACCTGCTGGCACCTGCTGGCACCTGCTGGCACCTACTGGCACCTGCTGGCACCTGCTGGCACCTACTGGCACCTACTGGCACCTGCTGGCACCTACTGGCACCTACTGGCACCTGCTGGCACCTGCTGGCACCTACTGGCACCTACTGGCACCTGCTGGCACCTGCTGGCACATACTGACACCTGCTGGCACATACTGACACCTGCTGGCACCTGCTGGCACCTGCTGGCACCTACTGGCACCTGCTGGCACCTACTGGCACCTGCTGGCACCTGCTGGCACCTTCTGGCACCTACTGGCACCTGCTGGCACCTACTGGCACCTGCTGGCACCTGCTGGCACCTGCTGGCACCTACTGGCACCTACTGGCACCTGCTGGCACCTACTGGCACCTACTGGCACCTGCTGGCACCTGCTGGCACCTGCTGGCACCTTCTGGCACCTACTGGCACCTACTGGCACCTGCTGGCACCTGCTGGCACCTACTGGCACCTGCTGGCACCTGCTGGCACATACTGACACCTGCTGGCACATACTGACACCTGCTGGCACCTGCTGGCACCTGCTGGCACCTACTGGCACCTGCTGGCACCTACTGGCACCTGCTGGCACCTGCTGGCACTGGCTGACGTCCGTATTTTACCTGGGAGTGTGCTGGTGGGGGGCTGACCCCTCCCCCCCCCTCCTCTCTCTCCAGGGAGGGAGAGTGAGGGAGAGGTGAGGTGTGAGGGAGAGGTGAGGTGTGAGGGAGAGGTGAGGTGTGAGGGAGAGGTGAAGTGTGAGGGAGAGGTGAGGTGTGAGGGAGAGGTGAGGTGTGAGGGAGGGGTGAGGTGTGAGGGAGAGGTATTAAATTTGCGAGAACGGGTTGGGTGTGAGGGAGAGGTGAAGTGTGAGGGAGAGGTGAGGTGTGAGGGAGAGGTGAGGTGTGAGGGAGAGGTGAGGTGTGAGGGAGAGTAGGAGAGGGTGGATGTGAGAACAAGGGTGAACTAAGTCGCTCTGTGAGTGAATTGGCCAATTTAAATGTAAACTAAGAATCTGAATCCTCACCAATCACCAATCACACAGGTGACCTCACGCTACCAATCACCAACCACACAGGTGACCTCACGCTACCAATCACCAACCACACAGGTGACCTCACGCTACCAATCACCAACCACACAGGTGACCTCACGCTACCAATCACCAACCACACAGGTGACCTCCCACCACCAATCACCGACCACACAGGTGACCTCCCACCACCAATCACCGACCACACAGGTGACCTCCCACCACCAATCACCAACCACACAGGTGACCTCCCACCACCAATCACCAACCACACAGGTGACCTCCCACCACCAATCACCAACCACACAGGTGACCTCCCACCACCAATCAGCGACCACACAGGTGACCTCCCACCACCAATCACCGACCACACAGGTGACCTACCACCACCAACCACACAGGTGACCTCCCACCACCAATCACCAACCACACAGGTGACCTACCACCACCAACCACACAGGTGGCCTCCCACCACCAATCACCAACCACACAGGTGACCTCCCACCACCAATCACCAACCACACAGGTGACCTCCCACCACCAATCACCAACCACACAGGTGACCTCCCACCACCAATCACCAACCACACAGGTGACCTCCCACCACCAATCACCAACCACACAGGTGACCTCCCACCACCAATCACCAACCACACAGGTGACCTCCCACCACCAATCACCAACCACACAGGTGACCTCACACCACCAATCACCAACCACACAGGTGACCTCCCACCACCAATCACCAACCACACAGGTGACCTCCCACCACCAATCACCGACCACACAGGTGACCTACCACCACCAATCACCGACTACACAGGTGACTACCACCACCAACCACACAGGTGACCCCCCACCACCAATCACCAACCACACAGGTGACCTACCACCACCAATCACCAACCACACAGGTGACCTCACACCACCAATCACCAACCACACAGGTGACCTCACACCACCAATCACCAACTACACAGGTGACCTCCCACCACCAATCACCGACCACACAGGTGACCTCACACCACCAATCACCAACTACACAGGTGACCTCCCACCACCAATCACCAACCACACAGGTGACCTCACACCACCAATCACCAACTACACAGGTGACCTCCCACCACCAATCACCAACCACACAGGTGACCTCACACCACCAATCACCAACTACACAGGTGACCTCCCACCACCAATCACCAACCACACAGGTGACCTCCCACCACCAATCACCAACCACACAGGTGACCTCCCACAGGTACCAACTCTGGCTGCTGGCATACAGCATTAAAGTTCAAGAAGGGAGACTCACCTTTACCGAGTTACCTGCCTGGGATATTGATCACAGGCTGGTGTAAGTGTTAAGATGCCAGGCTAAGATGCTGCCCCCCACCCCACACAACCCCCACCCCCCACAACCCCCACCACACAATCCCCACCCCACAACCCCCACCCCACACAACCCACACCCCACACAACCCCCACCCCACACAACCCCCACCCCACACAACCCCCACCCCACACAACCCCCACCCCACACAACCCCCACCCCACAACCCCCACCCCACAACCCCCACCCCCACAACCCCCAAGACTCCACATTCATCTGAGCTTCAATTCCCTGTAAACCAGTCTTCAAAAATTGTTTTTGAAGTTTCAAAACTCATCAAAGTCAATGGATCTTACCTTAGAATCATCACAGTCTGATTGATCTATTTAATGGCCAAAACTGGATTTAATGTTTGGGTAGGAATATGTACAGAAATGTATGACGCCTGTCACTCACATTGATGTATGACGGCTGAGTGGACAGCGCTGGGGATTCGTAGTCATGAAGTTCCGGGTTCGATCCCCGGTGGAGGCGGAAATAAATGGGCAGAGTTTCTTTCACCCTGATGGCCTGTTCACCTAGCAGTAAAATAGGTACCTGGGAGTTAGTCAGCCGTCACGGGCTGCTTCCTGGGGGTGGAGGCCTGGTCGAGGACCGGGCCGCGGGGACGCTAAGCGCCGAAATCATCTCAAGATAACCTCAAGAAGCCCACCACAATAGGTTGAAGGATCAGATAGGGGAAGGGAACTATCAAGGGAAAGCGTCAAGCCATTACGCCTATATAGCACTTGGAAGGGGTCAGGATAAGGATTTGGGATGGGACGGAGGGAAAGGAATGGTGCCCAACCACTTGTGGACGGTCGGGGGATTGAACGCCGACCTGCATGACGCGAGACCGTCGCTCTACCGTCCAGCCCAAGTGGTTGGGCACCATTCCATCCCCCGATATGGGAAGGTTCTCCACTTATAGCTGTGAAAATGGCGTTACTTAAAATGGATTGGATAATTTTTTGGCGTTGTATTATTGTTATAAAATCAAATCAATATTCTTTAGTAGGAAAATAGAGCCTCTAGTTATTTTATATCATTAAGAAGAGACGAGGATTGAAAAAAGATGGACAGATTCGTAAGTGCGTGCGTAACCGCTTCGTGAATCTGGCCCCAGGTACATGAGATCAATGTCACCTGTCAAGGTGCCTGATATCTATCTCACCTGTCAAGTCGTGACAGCAGTTAGTGTACACTCACAGTGCCGGAATTACACGTGTAGATGTGTATATTTGTGTTTACATACACATTCGCTCATGTACATCTCTGAAAGTTACACACACAAACACACACACACACCAGAGAGTCAGAGCTCAACCCCCGCAAACACAACTAGGTGAGTACAGCTAGGTGACTAGGCGAGTACACACACATACACACACATTTGATTGTGTGTGTGTGTGTGTCTCCCAAACGCCTCTCAATTGTCCAATTGACTGACAGTTGAGAGGCGGGCCCAAAGAGCCAGAGCTCAACCCCCGCAAACACAACTAGGTGATTACACACACACACACACACACACACACACACACACACACACACACACACACTACCAATTATCAGAAACGGTTGAAGTTCGTGAAATAATTACAGGACTCACGGAGCCATCAGACACGAGTAATGACGACACAAAGACAGAGAGGTGTCGTCCCCCTCTGACGGATGCACCATCAAGACAGCAGTGACGCGCGCTGCGCAATACTACCCTAAACCCCTACGCTGCTACAAGCGCCAAAAACCGTTTTTTCCCCCGTTTTCGCATTGATGTAGTTCTTTCTATAATTCCTGTAGCCCTTAGGGGGTTAAAGGCTACTTACAGCACTGTGTGTGACGCTGGACAATGAATCCGAAATAATATATAAAAACTAAGAATTAAAACTTCTAGAATTACCTTTTAGGCTCTAGAGGGTAGAGCCTAGCAAGTAACCCTTCAACCTGAAGTTTCTAGTATGTTACTTCAGCAGGAAGCTCCTAGTTCCTAGCTCCTAGCTATCAGAAGATAGCCTCTCTGATAGCAGATAGCCGGCAGCAGCAGTGGTAGCTCCCAGCATGTAGTCCTGAGCTAGTAGGCCAAAATACGTAGCCCCAACACGTAGCTCGTAGCCCCCAGGCTGTCTGTACACCCCAGCAAGGAGCCCCCAACATATAACCCCCCCCAACAGCGGGTATAGACCCAAACGGACAGCGCCTACTATGCAGCAGCCCATGCAGCAGGCAGCCCCCCACCTCCCCCCAATCTCTGCTACCCAAGGAACACAGCTCGTAGGCTTGCGGGAAAATACTGCCTTTACTTGGTAGAGGAGAAAATTACTGGTGTAAGTGGACTGAATATACGAGGTTGGAGGGGGGTGGGGGATGGAGGGATGGAGGAGGAAGGAAGGAGGAGAAGGGTGAAGGGAGTGAGGAGGGAGAAGATGAAGGGATGTGAGGGATAAGGAAGGGGTGGAATGAGGGAGATGGGAAAGAAAAGGAATAGTGAAACAGAGAAGAGAAGTAGGTGAGTAAGAATAGGGGACTTATATAACAAAGAGAAGGAGTTAGAGGAGGAGCAACTAACAGAAAGGAGAAAGAAAGGATAAGAGATAAACAGGGAGACACGATAGGAGATGATAAGAAATAAAGAAGAACAGCAAGAGAAAATAAGATATAAGCAGGATAGGACTATAAAAAATATGAGATAAAGAGTGCATAAGAGGGAAGGAAAGTGTTGATAAGCGAAAGGGAGAGGAACGGAAAAGAGAAATTACC